AACTCGGCAAAGAGTTCCAAGGTCGGCGAGCAAGGTCAGTTCGGCGACTTGTTTCTTGGCGAGTAAGATTAGCTCAGCAAGGAACTCCAAGGTCGGCGAGCAAGGTCAACTCGGCGACTTGCTTCTTGGCAAGCAAGATCAGCTCGGCAAGGAACTCCAAGGTCGGCGAGCAAGGTCGGTGCGGTGGCTTATTTCTTGGCAAGCAAGATCAGCTTGGCAAGAAACTCCAAGGTCGGCGAGCAAGATCAGCTCGACGAATTTTTTCTTGGCGAGCAAGATTAGCTCGACAAGGTACTCCAAGGTTGGCGAGCAAGATTAGCTCGGCAAAGAACTCCAAGGTCGGCGAGCAAGGTCTGCTCGACGACTTGCTTCTTGGCGAACAAAATCAGCTCGACAAGGAACTCCAAGGTCGGCGAGCAAGGTTAGCTCAGTGACTTATTTCTTGGCGAGCAAGATAAGCTCAATAAGGAACTCTAAGGTTAGCTCGGCGATTTTCTTCTTGGCGAGCAAGATCAGCTTGGCAAGGAATTTCAAGCTCGGCGAGCAAGGTCAGCTCGGCGATTAGCTTTTTTACGAGCAAGATCAGCTCGGTAAGGAACTCCAAGGTCGGCGAGCATGGTCAACTCGGTGACTTGTTTTTTGGCGAGCAAGATCAACTCGGCAAGGAACTCCAAGGTCGTCGAGCAAGGTCCGCTTCGCGACTTTCTTCTTGGCGAGCAAGATCAGCTCGGCAAGGAACTCCAAGGTCAGTAAGCAAGGTCCGCTCCGCGACTTGCTTCTTAAACAAATCAGCTTGGCAAGGAACTCTAAGGTCGGCGAGCAAGGTCCGCTCCGTGACTTTCTTCTTGGCGAGCAAGATCAGCTTAGCAAGGAATTCTAAAGTTGATTAAAACCATCAAGAAATCTCTTGCAGAGTAAAATCCATCTGACAAGGAAATAGTCTACTTGTTTCATTGTGCCAGTGGCAAAAAACGTTACAAAAATTGAACTAAGAACAAAACTTTAGATTGACAGAGTTCGATGTTCTAGAAATGGATCGGCCATTTACATTCTGCGAGTTTTATGCCCCTTTTCCTCGGCCTTCTTACAGACGTTTTCCAAAAATCGAACTCCCTATATCTCTTCCATGGTGGTTTGCATAGCCATCATCTTGTCCGACTGCATGAACCTTTCGTACTACTCTCTTGTTCTCTATTACCGGACTTGCCGTCACGGTAGCTGCGGCTGCATCGTCTTCGACTCGGATGTGCTCATTAATATGTTGCATGAGCATTTCCATGGTCGATAGTTGATTCATTGTGAGCAAGTCTCTCAGTCGATGTCCAATTGGAATAGCGCACTTATACTGAGTGATTGCAAAGTTGGTTGGGCAATCAAGGATCTCATTGAAAGTCTCTCAATACAGCGTTATACGCCTTCAAAGAGTCGTCTGGCTTCATGTTTACTCTCTAGAGATGGTCAATTTCCTTGGGCGTTTCGGCATTTGTCTTAAATCTGGTGACAAATGCCTCTGCCAACTGTCGTCACCCCCGATGCTCTCCTCCGGCAGCCTCTCGAACCATTTTAGGCCCAACTCGCCCAAACTCGATGGAAAAACAAGGCACATGAGCGCATCGTTTCGCCTGTGCCCGGCCATAACCTACCGGAAGTAGCTTACGTGAATATATGGATCAGTCTTTCCGTCATAGAGCCTGAACTTTGGTTGATGGAACCCGGGGGGGAGTGGTGTGTTCTCGATCTCTACGGAAAAAGGGATAACACTCAGCCTTGCCAACTCTCTGTCTAGTGGCAAGCGTACCGCTAAACGTGGTTGTGGCATGGCAACCTTTTCACTGGCTTGCCCTCTAGGGACCAGCCACTGTAGTGCAGGCACCCTCTGCGCCTCCTGCCGGTGAGCGTGCTCCTCCAACACATCCCTCAAGTCTTTCGAAGGTCGGAGCGGGAATATCTTGACGCCGTCGTTGAGTGTAAGGGGTGGTAACTGTTGTCCTGCGTGTGAGATATCGTCGCCGGCGCGACGTAGTCTCCAGCTCTAAAGCTTCTTGTGACGGAGAGTGAAGAGGTGAGACGTCTATTAAGATTGCCGGAATAGCGGGAATGGGCGTGCTCACTGTGGTTTCCCACTCCAGCGACTCCCTTTCCCTTCATTTAGCGTCTTATGGCCTCTATCTCCGTCGCCATTTTCGTGATAATGGTATCTTGGTCTCTCAGCTTGTCTTCTAAGTGTTGAGTGTGTGAATCTCGCCGTCGGCAACGCTCTTTGGGAATGACAGAGCGCCCAAAACTCCTTGCGCGCTTGTCTTGCGCATCCCTGGGAAGTCCTTATGCGAAGGTTTCCAAATCAGCCATCGTTGGAATGGCGAACAGGCCATCTCTGCGCCGAACGAACTCTGGCGTGATGTCTTTGATGGCGAACAACGGAATGTCGTCGTGGTTCGCCATAATAGATGACCGGAGAAGCTTGGAGGACAAGGTTTTGTTTGTCGAATTCCCACAGACGGCGCCAATTGTACGGGGAGAAAATATTCGATGTTGTCCGTACTCCTTGTGTCCAAGCTGCGCCTTCCTCCGATCGACCTGAGAACACAACGAATGTGAGCTACCCGGCGGTGTGTTACTGGAAAACCCCTTGGACGGTCAAGTCAGCACACACTAAGAGAAAGAGAAAGAAGAGAGTGGAGACAATGTGTTTGTTTTTCTCTCACTAGAAGATGTTTCATGCATCAGTATGGAGGCACAATCACGCTTATATACCTTTTGCGCGTGCCTTTGCGTTCATTTTCCTTTTGATGCGTGGACCTGCTCTCCTATCTCACTTTCTCATGTGTCAGTGCAAATACAACTAAACACCACCTAACCAAATTGCCAAACGGCGTTGGTGCGAATGGACAGCCCGACGCCACCTCCTCTTCTTACGACCGCACTACTTCTGAGACATGCAATGCTCTGAACCGAGCTCTGTTATAACCGAGCTCGGCCGCCCTCCGTTATGACATGCATTACTTCCACTGTGGCTTAGCCGCCCGCCGCTATGACCAAGCACCTGTTTAGTTGGATTGGTCTGCGGAGGATTTGACCCACCTAACTCAGTGAGCAAATAAAATGAACCGGGCCCGCAGTCTGAAATTACCCCGGCCAAATCGGACTTGGGCCTTGACCGTGCGCACTACCACCGGATTAGCCCAACCCAGCTCGGCCCAAACTTGCCTGGCCCAATTTGCCCGACCATTACCACTGCCCAAAGCCAGATTATAAAATCTCCCTCTCAGTGGATGAAGATAGCATGCGAGTCGCAGTAGTGAGGAAGAAGTGCGAGGCCATGGTGGCGACCTCCATTGCTGCTCTCTGTAGAGAGAGAGAGAGAGAGAAAGAGAGAGAGAGAGTGTGTGATGGTGTGAGCGGAAGAAAATGGATTCTCTGCGACTTTGGATTAGAACGGGCTTTGGAATGGGTTTGTTAAAGTTGGTCCGAGCCCCTATGACTCCACTCCAACAAGTTCATAGACTCACACAAAGACCATAACAAATACATCTCCCAAAATTTGATAAAAATATGAATTGCTCCCTGTAATTTTAAAAATTACATTCTACCCCGAAAGTTTTTAACTTCATAACAAGTTGCCCTTTTTAATAATAAATTATCAAGTTAATTAACAGTTTTTAATGATGTTAGAAACATGTTTCAATTAATAATTTAGGTAATTTTATTATTGTATTGGAAAACAATTATGAATTTCATTTTTTTAGTTAATTATGTTTTATAAAAAATACTAACAATGAGGTATTTGTAATTTTCCAAACCACAAGGGGCAACTGTACTTTAAGCAAACCTCAAAGGGTGTATTTGTAATTTACCTAAAACTAACTACATAAAATAATTTAATTTTACATATCCAAATCATCATATAAAAAATGGCAGTATTATATTCACACAATTTATTTTTTTTACAATCTTCTTGATAAGGTGGTAAGACAAAATATATAAGAATTTTGAAAAAATATTTAAATAGAGTAGGGCTACATTTTCAATACATCACACTTTCATTTTGACTTCTAATAAGGTAGAAGAGAGATAGAGAGATAAGAGAGATGAAATGTGTGAGACTCCATTCACATGGCTTATTTCATATCATTGGAAAATGGATTAGGAGTGTTCAATTGGAGCTCCAAAACATTTTTCTTTTTGAATGTAAGTTCACTTTTTAAATTTTACTTATAACATTATTAGGGGATTGTAAAGAGAAAAAAAAATTATGTGAATAAATCATTTTTCTATAAAAAAAATATAATTTCACTCATCTTAGATTCCCACAAAACATAACCTTCAAAATGATCTGAACCATTCATGTCATTGTCAAAGATAGAAAAAAAAAATTCAAACACATCAATGGTCAATACATCAGTAGGGTCACAGGAGTCCTCCTTTGTGGGGGTCCCAAACATTTTCCTTGTCCAACAGTAATGAAAGAAATCCCTACAAAACACAACCCCCAAAATAATCTTGACCATTCATGTCATTGTCAGAGATAGAAGAAAAAAAATTCAAACACATTAATGGTCAGTACATCAGCGGGGGTCATGGGGGATCCTCCTTTGTGGAGGTTCCAAACATTTTCCTTATCCAATAGTAATGATAGAGATCTTACAAAATACAACCCCTACAACCCCAAAATGATGTAGACCATTCATGTCACTGTCATAGATAGAAGAAAAAAAAAATTAAACACATCAATGATCAATACATCAGTAGAGGTCATGGGGGTCCTCCTTTGTGGGGGTTCCAAATATTTTCCTTGTCCAACAATAATGGTAGAGATCCCCACAAAACACAACATTTAAAATGATCTAGACCATTCATACTACTATCAAAGATAGAAGAAATAAAAATTCAAATACATTAATAGTCAATATATTAGTGGGGATCACGAGAGTCCTCGTTTGTGAGAGCCCCAAATCCTTTCCCTGTCCAGTAATGATAGAGATGCCCGAAAATACAACCCCACAAAGAGTAATTGAATGTGGGTCGTTGTGTTGATGACATCAGGAGGGAACGAGTTATTTCCCATTTGTGCTGTGAACACCATAGACAATGAGAAACCACCCACATTCAATTGCATGGCTTGGATGAAATATCCTGATTGGTTCTCCCCTATTCCTCCTCAGGGTTGTGATTGTATTGGTGGATGCTTGGACTCTCAGAAATGCTCATGTGTACTCAAGAATGGAGGCGAGATACCATACAACTACAACGGTGCTATCGTAGAATCAAAGACTCTGGTCTATGAGTGTGGTCCTTCTTGCAAGTGCCCTCCTTCGTGCTACAATAGAGTCAGCCAGCATGGCATCAAAATTCAGCTTGAAATCTTCAAAACAGAGTCAAGGGGTTGGGGTGTTAGATCCCTAACTTCTATTCCTTCAGGAAGTTTTATATGTGAGTATATTGGGGAGCTTCTCGAGGACGCGGAAGCTGAAAAAAGACACAATGATGAGTATTTGTTTGACATTGGACAAAATTACTGCGATTGTTCTGTTATGGATGAACTTTCTACTCTCAAGCCTGATGCACAATCAACTCCTAATGAGGTTGTGGAGGATGGTTTCACCATTGATGCTGCGGAATGTGCAAATGTGGGCAGGTTTGTTAACCACAGCTGTTCCCCTAATCTTTATGCTCAGAATGTCCTCTATGATCACGAGGACAAGAAAATGCCCCACATAATGTTCTTTGCTGCAGAGAATATTCCACCCTTACAGGAGCTGACTTACCACTATAATTATTCAGTGGATGAGATTCGTGATTCGAATGGCAATATTAAGAAGAAGAACTGCTATTGTGGTTCTGAGGAGTGCACTGGCAGAATGTATTGAGGCCGACAGAAAAATTTGGGTTCTCGGGTAGGGATTCCTTTTCTCTTAATGTAAGTTGTGTTTGACCACTTTCCTTTTTGTCTGTGTTATGGAACTTAGATTTATTATTTACCCTGTGATAGGTCCTAATGAATCTATTTCAGCATGTACTCTTGGGCTGTCTCAACAGAAACACATAGATATGAACGCTCATATACGGGCAAATATCATTTTCATGAAAAGAAACACTCATGAACACATTTCTAAGCTTTTTGACACAATGCGAATATGTATAAACGACGATTATAGGATATTAACAGATTTTAATATATACTTTCTACAGTATCTCCATGTGTCTGTTTGTACATAACGAGCTGGGTTGTACCAAGTTTCCTTTTCAGATTCACTAGGTTAAACTGTTGAGTTGCACCACTTCGCTTCAAGTGCTGCATGAGCCAAATGGTGTAGCGCATCTGGGCTAACCAAATTTCAGAGCATCGAGGCTCCAGATTTTGGAGATGATGCCAGAATTCATATGTAATTATCAATATGAGAATTGCCCAAAATCAAGTTGTCTGGTGGTTTTTTGTTTGTGATCATAGATATAGAAGTTCATCTCTCTTTGGATGAACTGTCAGCTCTCACGAATCACATTTCTTTTCATGTTTAAAGTAATATTGAAATCTGACATTTGTTTCCACATTCATGATCTGATTCATGTATGTAAATACTTCACATCTCATCCCTTAATTTTGAGAATTTTCTTATGATTCTTGTTCAGATGCAAAGCTTGATTTTGATGAAAGCAGACGAGGAGAATGATGGAAAGGTTTGGATCATATTTTGAGGTGCTGGGATCTCCAATATCAGTTTTGACAATGTTTTTCTCAATTTGTTTACTGGACAACACATTTTATGGTTAGATATGGAGTGCCTTGACACAGTGTGGTTAGTCCTGTAGACTTGGCAGTAATTTTTTCCAGACTACGAGGTGGACTACTACTCCCATCCTCTGTAGGTCAGATCACTACACCCACCATGAAATGAATTATCTGCTGTATATGCTGTTTATTGAATTATTTGTATGTTTGTTACTGAATTAGCGATTCCAGAGAAGAAATCCAAAAATGTTAAACTTGGTAACCTTCATATGGTACTGTTCTTGTCCCAAGGGAGAAAAAAATGTAATCTTCTGTGCCTTTCCCTGTAGTTTTTTTGATTTAGCATTTTTTGGAATTTGTACATATGAATCTGGTGACAAATAAGTTATGAAATAGGTGACTGGTTGTTTGTGAAGGTTTCAGATTGCAATCTTTTATGTTTCTTTTGTGGCACATATATTTTGTGTCAACACAAATAATATCATTGCTGTGTAGGACTCAGTGGTGGTGCATTTTTGCTTCGAAAACAAGTTAATGTTTATTATCTTGGCTAGTACTAGTCTTTTTAAAAATTAAGTGGAGCTTTGTGTGTCCAAACATGCAGTCTTTCTTTTTCTTCTGAGACTGTTACAATCACTGCAAATATTGTTCTAAGTTCAAGATTCAGTGAGTTCTATGCATACACACACAGACGCATGCATATTCATGTGTATTACTGTTTGCTCAAGTGCTGCAATATCATTTTGCCCTTTTTGTGTCTATCCAACCATAAGGGAAAGGAAAAATATGTCATTCATAGTACACAAATACACTTCTTTATTGAAAATGGTAAAGAGCACTAGCTCCAACTCAAACATAACTTTGATGACTTTATTAAACTCCTAGATATATATATATATATATATATTTTGGGTGATAAATAAGCAAATATTATTAGAAAAACATTAAGGTTATGCAAAGAAAACGAAAAACAAGGCCCTAAGGGGATTAAACTCCTAGATAATAATTACTTAGCATCTCCTACTCAACATATATTTAGATATATATGTAGCAATAGGGATTGGGATTGGGATTTTATAGGGCTCAAGTAAGCTGAACTGTTGTTTCATAAGCGGCCCCAGCCTTCCATTCACTAGGAAGTACACTACTCAGCTGCACCCAATTCAGCCCTGACCTGCAACTCACTTGGACTCTGAAGTTAAGTGCACCTGTTGGTGGGCTAGACATGTCCCACACTGCACCATAGGCATTTCTCAAGCCCCTCCATTGCTGACAATCCACCTGCACCAAAGAAGGAAATATGTATTATTAAAAATGATATGCATAGGCCCTTGGCCCACCATCAGAATGCTAACGGTAAGTCTTTACTGGTGGCCCAACCCGCCCTTTTTTACTTGATAATACCCAGTTCACTCAAATAGTTCAGTGGACTGTACCTGCCACACTTCAACCGCAGTGATGTCATTTTGGCCAGCTTGGTACAAGATGATAATGGCTAGGTAATCAGGAAACCTGCTGTTCTCATGGACCTTGACCATGAGATTGTAACCTGGGTACTGGCAAGAAATTCTCTGGTATTCTATGTCAACCACACCATAAGCAAACAACTCCGAGGCTACGTCAGGACGAGCCAGCCTTGCGTAGGCACGGGTGCTTAGAATGAAGTCTGTCTTGTCCCCTTCACCATAGTCTGTCACCACCACCCTCGCTCCATCCTCGGTGCAAAGTTGTGGTATCTTGCACCTAACCTATCATATTAGTAAAAACAAATAGGAAATAACCATCATTATCGGCTCAAGCAAAGGAGCCACTTTTTTTATTAGTGTTAACATTTTCATTATTTTGCATTTCTTCAATGATTAATAAAGAAGGGCTTGTACTGGATGCCAATTTCTTGCAAGCTCAAAAAGTAGAGTTTCTAATTGTTGCTTTTTACTGTTAAAAAAAAATGTTGCTTTTTATCGTAGTCCAAGACTGAATATCAATATTTGTTCATTCTATTTCGAATATCATTATTCAGATTCTTTCAATATCCTCAAGAAGGGTCAATGACTTTTTAAGTAGCTTTGAAGTTGAATTACCTGGTAGCATCCACCACACCCAGTTCCATTCCTATACAGCCTAGAGACTCCACTCACAGAACCATCGTTGACGGTTCTTCCATAGTCACCAAACCCGCAAGCTCCAGCTAATTTTTAACCACATTAAATCCGTGTTAATCATTGTAGCTAGATTATTAATATAGAAATGTACATAAATCAATACATGTAAACCACACACACATATAGAAAGAGAGAGAGAGGCTTGGGTGTGTACATACTTGGAGTCCCCAAGCAATCAGGGCTGCCATAATAGGTTGCTGTAGAGGACACAAAAGTGTCCTGGGAGTAACAAAGTGCTGGCAAAAGCACCAGGACATAAAGAAGAGAGCAATAGCTTTTAGGTGCAAAACCCATTTCTTTAGACAAGTTGACAATCTAAGAGAGGTATAGTTTCTGAAGATGATGAATGAGGAGAAAATTTTCAGATGGAAAGTTCACAAATGAAATCCCTTATTTATAGTTGAGATCACGAGGGCAGGGTAAGAGAATTGGCAATTATTTCTTCCACTAGGGAGTCCAATTAGGGGTTAGGGCACTAGATTAGAGATATATAAACATAGACACTTTTATTGACCCCTTAAGATTTTCATATGATACACTTGCTTATATTTTGTACATTCAATAAGCAGTGTGGCAAGTGAGCCTTGCCTAACATTTTATTTCACTATTTGCATTTTTGGGATATAGGACATGTGATTCAAGTAGTCTGCTTTCATGGTTGTATTTATGCGCCATGTTTGATTTACCAGACTAATAATAAAGGTATTAATAATCTCATTAAATTAATGTGGTATTCACTATCTAATTAGATTAGTAGGATAAATTATCCCCTTATGTTTGATTTGTATTGGATAAGAAAACATATGAATTAGGATTATAAATATATTTATCTTCTTTTTTAATCTTACCATCCATCAATATTTCTTCACAATCTTTACTTCATCAAAATTTCTTCATAAATGTGGTTTTGAAAAAAAAATATAAATAAATAAATAAAAAAGCAAAATAAAAATACAAAACACAAAGGTCATGTTTGGTTTGTTTTTTAATTTTTTTTTAAAATATAAATTAATTTGATAAAATAAATATCAAAAAATATTTTAAAATTTTTAAAAATTATTTTTAGCCTTCTAAAATATAAAATTATATAAAAATAATAAGTGTTTTAATTTTTAGTCAAGGGTAAAAGAATATTTTTATTTTATTTCCCAACTCAGGAAATATAATCACACCCATATCCCATTACTAATAATCTTATAAATTTATTAGATTAGAGGTTGTTTGGGATGTCCTAAATAAGTGCACTTTTTGGACTAAAAAGTTGAGTAAAAAAATATGATTGTTTAGGTTAGCTTTTTGACTTTTTATGAAAAAATGTGTATTAAAAAATTGTATAAATTAGTGTGTAGGGGAAAATTAGAATTGAGAGTTGTGCAGTTATAATTTTTGACTTTTGGTGAATAGTGATAACTTTTTAACTTTTGATTAACTTTTTGACTTTTTGGTCACATGTTAAACTCGGCCTAATTATCTGTTAGATTAATAATCCTGAAATAAAATTTCAAAACAAACACAGGACTTTTGTCAATCAAAAGTATATTAGTTTGTTTATGAATAAATTGCACTCATCTCTTTTCAGCTTTTTTAAAAAAAATACATTTATATTAGGAGCCCTCGTCATAATATGATTCTACCTACGTAATCATCTTTGTAGGCGCCCATTAGGAGTCTGCAGATTAATATATGTTCTGGAAATTGTATTGGCAGTGGACAGCTTTTATAACATTGAAATTTTTTGTTTTCTTATTTTCTTTTTGGCGGCCTTTATGTCCAGGTTCTATGTAACCAATGATTAACGTTATACCAAACCAAATCTGTAAGGGTATTTCTCTTTTATTGATATTGGTGTCTATCAACACAAATGAAATTTTAATCTAATCGTGCGGGAAGGTAGTATTCAAATCCATATCTTTAATCAAACATTTTAAGTTGAATGTTTTTGGGTTAAAACCAAAAAAACTATGGGCTAATATTAATATTAATCGGGGGGGGATTAACCTACCTAAAGTCGTGTTTGGTTAAAAACGCACCAAGGTGTGTGTCAAGGCCCTGCGAATCCCATGAAGGCAGTCAAAACAAGTAAGCACTAGAGTCCCCTCGATTTCCAAGTCTAGATAACATTATTATTAGGGGGAAAAGCACTCTTGGGGGTGTTTGATTCAAGGGATTAAGGGGAGACTACACTGTTTAGACTTGAATTTATTAGAAGGGATCTAACGTTTTGGTATAATTTTAGTCTATCGAATATGAAATCTCGCCGGACTCCATATCCCTCATATGAGGGACTAAATAATTCTAAGGAGGGGGTGTCATTATTTCTAGGAGATCGGTATCTCATGGGATTAATGTGTGAAATGTCCATTTTACCCTCATACTATTACTTAGTAAACAATTGGAAATGGGTAAAATAGTCTTTTGAATATTTATAAATTATAAATTTAATTTAATTAAAAATATAAATTAAAAATTATGGCCTTAAAAATTAAATTTTTTTAGTGTTGTTAAATTAAATGATAAAAAATTTAAAATTTAAAATATTTATAAATTAAATTTTTTTAGTGTTGTTATTACATTTTCCCCTAGTCTTTTGAACATTTATAAATTATAAATTACAAATTACAAATTATATATTAAATAAAAAATAAAAAATATAAATTTAATTTAATCAAAAATAATAAATTAAAAATTATGGCCTTATAAATTTAAAAATTATATATTACAAATTTAAAATTATATATTATAAATTACAAGGATAAAATAATTTTTTGAACATTTATCCAGTTCATCCAATCAAACATTAGATTCAATAAAATAATTCTTTCCAGACATTTAATCTCATGAAAAAACAAACCTAGGATACAAATCCAGTTCAACTAAATAGTCCGGAGATAATGTATGCCATGACTAATAGTCCAGTGGATTATAATCTCTCCTTATTCAGTCCATTTAAACAAACACACCCTTACAATTTTGTTAACGTGGGATATATATCCTTCAAAAACTTAAAAACCACAAATAATTTTTTTTTCATTAACTACAATTTTGTTGACTTTTAGTTTTTATTATACCAAAATCTAGAATATGAGAAAAATGTTTAGAGAAATTACAAAAAAAAAAAAAAAAATCTTAGAGTTTGTCTCTTATAATAAATTAAATTATGATTTTTTAATTTTATCAATTTAAATTTTGAACTTTTGATTTGTTTTCAATCTAGACCATTTGTTTATTTTCGTTAATAAAAATCGACAAAATATCTATAC